GGTGTCTGCTCATTCGACGGCGTTATTCCGAATATCCGAAACCATCCAATATGATGTGAAGTCGTTTGGTTTCGATGCGCGCAGGCGCGATGTCCTGTTGGAGGGCCGAGCGCTTCTAGATGTTAACACCGAGTGGCGATACTGATATCGATGCTGTGCTTCTGAACTCCTGCTAGGCCTTCCGCCGCCCAACTGCCGAGCGCGCATGGTCGGGCCGTTAACGCCTCCTGCGGGGGGGATTGGATAAACGAAAACTCATAAGCTTCGCCCTGCCCCGCGAGGGTGCGGGCCGACTTGGGGGAACAGTGCATGTTCTCCTGCAATGAAATGGCAGTCGTGTTCTGGACGTGACTCGACGCAAGCGCGTCCTTGAATCGCAGCGTTCGTCGCCATCTCTCGCCCCGTTGCCGCTGAGCCTTGCGCATTCTGGTTGACCGCCCTGGCCGTCTCGCCGCCCCTGCCAGCTGCGGCGGCAGCACAGACAGTCGCCACTCAGGGCATCAAAACACGAGAGAGCAACGCGCGCAAGGAAAAGCACGGGTTGTCGTACAGCGGAATCAGCAAACGCCCATGTCAACGCGGGCCTCGCCAGGCTGGAGCAGCCCGCCAACGAATTCAACGTGTCGCTGAACCAGGAACAGGCCAAGATGCATCTCGAGGTCGCGGGCGCCCTTCCAGAATCCGATAACGAACACGAATTTCTCAGCCGGTCCTGCAAGAAACTGACGGCGGAGTCGAGGGGCGGCTTCCGCTGCGCGCGCAATGCCTGCAAGGGCGCGCCTCGCGCGAACAGGCCATGCGCGGCGTTCGCCCCGCTCGCTGGCCACGCGAGGTCTGGATGGGATATCGACCTCGCCATGCGCTCGCGCATGGCACGCGCGCTCGGTTGTAAGACCCTCCAACCCGACGCCTGCACTCACTGCGCCCGGCGCGAGGGCGACAGCGTCAGTACTGCGGAGAACAAGGTGCCCCAGCTCTTCAGCAAACACAACATTCCGATGCCATACTCGGCAGCGCATCGGGCCAAGTCCACGACGTTCGACGACGAAGTGGTCGAGACAGACACGTGCCGCACTAGTTCGCGCAGCAGAGGGGCGTCGTCTTCCACGAGGGCGCCCCGAGGCGCACGCCTGTTCTCCAAAGGTGCCGGCGCGCGAGGCAGCGGCCCGCAGCGGGCCGCACGCGCGCGCCAGGACAGGGGAACGAAGCAGGGCAGAGGCGGAGGTGGCGCAGCGACCGGAGCTGGAGTGGAGGGCCATTAGAGGAGGGCGCTGGAAAACGGCACCGTAGCCGCACCCGACGGCGATTCGGCCGTTCACTGCGCGGCCCAAGCCGCTGGGCTCCCAGTCCTCACGGCGTGGACCGTTAGGTGAAAATCATCACGCCCGCCTGCGGGTTGCCCGAGGTCCAAGCTGGATGCAAAGACCACCCGCATGCCGAGGGCGCGCTCGAAGGGCAGGACCCCCTCCGTCAGGGAGACCGGGCGCTCTACTGCACTCCGTCAGCAGGTGACAACGCGGCAGAAGACCTCACGCGCCACCTGACGAACACAGTGCGAAGGCTGGGCAACGTCGGCCCCAACACCTCGCTAGCTATCTGCAGGAAGAACGCCCAAAAGTTGGCGTCGGCGGCTCTGCTCCGCCAGGCAGGCCTGGACTCAGTTTTGGGCACGCTGTAGTTGTACAGGGTTGCTCTGTCCAGTGGCGACAGCAATCTGTCGCTCAAGGACGCCTTCAGCGCCTCGAGCTGAAGCTCGCGGGTGTGCAGTTCGCCCAGAATCAACTGGCTTCGCAGATGAGAGACAAGACCAGCGTTGCGACTGCGCGGGGGAAGCATTGCAACCGTGGCAGTGAGAAAACGATTCCATGCACCATCGCCGCCATCAATCATCGCGCATCCGCCGACTGCTCGCCGATGTCTCTCAGTTGGCGTCGCTCTATCCAGGCCACTGGCAAACGATAGGGTTTGGCCGTATGAATAGTACTCCCCACTCTCCCCTGGCTCTGTGCAGAAGATGCTCGATCCCTCTCCGCGCATTATTTTTTACACATAGGAGTTCGCACATTGGTGTTGCCCTCTATGTTTCTACCATACGAATAATCTCGGTGCTTCGAACTAGTGTTCCAGCTGCAGGGTGGGCCTTATTTTCGGATCGGCGCTTCAGAACGGCGCTCTCGCCCTAGCGCGGGCCACTGTTCTGGATCCGAGTCCTTCTTCAGCGCTGTCGCCCCCTCATTTCCCCTCCCCCGCCTTCCTCTGGTCCCCCTGCTCCTCCCACCCCTTCCACTACAGATCCTGCTCGTCCTTGTCATCCTCCTTATTAATCCTCCGTTTTCTCCTGCTCATTCTCATGCTCACCCGCCACCTCACCCTCTCCCTCGTCCTCCCTCTGTGTACGCAGTTGCCCTTTTCCGATTGGGCATAGCACGATGGGGGCGTTCTTTGAGTTCCAGGTCGGCTATGACACGCGTCCCTGGATGGAGCAAAATCAGCGCACTGGGAAGGGATGGACGGGAGGGACAGGATGTTAGATATGGCGCTGGCGCGCCTAGCTTGTCCTTCCCCCTCTCACTGCTCCCCTTCCGATCTCTTACGTTCACCTTCGGCCTGTAATTATCCTTCCCTCCCCCTTCAATTCCCTCTCCCGCTCTCTTTCCGTCCCTCCTCTCCCCTCCTCCCTGCCTGCTCCCCTCCATTGCCCGTCCCCCCCCTCCCAGACTGGGGAGGCGGGCTGGGGGAGAGGGCGGATCGAGGATGACCCCGGACCTCAACGATTGTGAGCCTTTGGGCCACCGCAGAGGTCTGTATTTCACTAGCCTCTTCCTCATCCTGCTCCTCGTCCTCGTCCTCCTCCTTCTCCGAGGCCGATGCTGGCGGTGGTGCCAACTCCCAGGCCGCCCGAGGATGGGGCGAGGAGGGGGAGGGGGCCAGAGGGAGGGGGGGGGGACGGAGAGGGCTCAGAGATCCGGGGGGGGGGGGGCAGAGGAGCGGGTGGAAGGAGGAGCGCGGCACCAGGCCAGGAGGCCTTGAAACTCGCGTGCAGCAGTAGACGGCCCCCACGGGCCGAACAGACCAAAACGGGTGCAGTTCTCGCCCAACTCTGCGAGTTCGAGGCAGGCCTCCATCCCCTCGGCGGCGAGCCCGGGAGGGAAATCAGAAGGGGCGGGCCTTCTCAGGAGGCTCGGAAGTCCCCGTGCCTCCCGAGAGGCTTTCTGAGCATTCCCCCGAAGACGCAGAAAAAACTTCTCGGAAGGCGCGAGGGCTTCTCGGATGTCCCGCCGCCCTCTGAGGAAGGCCTTCCCTCTGCCTCCCCTCCCCCCTCTCGCTCGCCGCCGATGCTCCTGCTGCCGGGCACCCGGCCCGAGGCCTTCGGCCTCGGCGCGGGGGGGGGGGGGCCCACAGCCCAGGGCAGCGCCGGGAGCGGGTCCGAGCGACGGGGCCGAGAGTTCGGCTGGGCATGTCCCGCGGCAGGAAGCATGCTCGACAACAGTCGAAACATGGTCCGGTGACGATGCGTCGCGCTCTTCTGGTCACGTGTTGCACTTGGCTCTTGCCTCTCGTGTGTTACTCTTCTTCCAAGGTCCGCCTGCAGGAGGGCATGCCCGACCAAGGCACGAGGCAGCGGGACGCGCCGAAGAGGGCGGCGGCCGCCTCGGCGCGTCCACCCTGACGGGAGCGGTGCTGCCACGCAGAGCCCACGACGAGTGCCTCTCGCGCGGCCCTCAGAGCGAGCCCCGAGCGAATCCGGCGCGAGGGAGGCCCTGCCCCGGGAGCGCCCGGGATGGCCCACGGCCCCGCAAGAGGTGCGCAAAACTTCGGTGGCAACTCATGGGAACCTCCCGTACCATCTTGCCAGCTGTTGCTAATCGACGCTAATCGGCGCTAAGTCGACGCTAATCGACGCTAAATCCACGCTAACCGACGCCAAATCGGCGCTATCTCATCGACTCCCAGACGCAAATCGACGCTAACCGACGCTACAGACGGAATTCAAAGGGTATAACGGGCTCCCATGATTTGCTCCGGTACCCATGGATGCGCCATGCAGGGCACTGGACAAGGGTCGGCGACTCCGACGGGTGTGGTTTGCAAGGGGTGTGGCTTGCATCCGGCGCCCTGGGGGGGCACCCTGGGGGGCGGGCGTGGATGACGACAGAGCTCTCCGCCGCGCCCCGAGGAGGCCCAGCGAGGACAGCGTCGTGCCCCCCGGGCCCCAGCAGTGCCGATCGCAAACCACACCCAGGCGTAACCATACCCTTTGCAGTCGCCGAGAGGCCTCGAAGCAGACGTGACCTCGGGCCCCCCTGGGGCCTCAGGAAGGCCCAAGAGCCCCGTGGCGGCGCGAGGCCGTGCGAAGGCAGCTCCTCGCCGACCTCCGATCCGCCGTCCCACCAGTCAGAGAACGGGTTCGACAAGTTCGGAGCGCACTGGAGCGCTGTGGGTCGTCCTACCTCTCCACCCCCCATCCGCTCATGCTCTCTCCCTCTCCGTCTCTCCCTCGCACTCCTCTCTCTCCCCCTGCCCTCCCTCCATCCCTCTCTTCTCCCCCCTCCAGGTGGATGACCCTGAGAACGGCTAGGAGGAGAATGCAGCACGGGGGGCGGCAGGGGCGGCGGCGGCAGCGGCGGAAGCAGAGGCTCAGATCTTGCTTCCTCTAGTGTCTAGTGAGAGCGTCACCCTACTACTTGACCGCACCCTGCGGCGGCCGTACGCATGCAGTCTGCCACCGACGACGGTACTGGAGATGTCCAAAGAATGGAGCCTGCTCTGCAAATCGAGACTCACCGACGCCGAGGTCACCTAACTTCGCGCATCGCCCCGTGAGAAGCGCGATTAGCTCCGCACCACCGCGCCCCCATGCGGAGAAGGACAGCTCTCCAGCCTCGGAAACCAGGCGCCAAACGCGGCCCAAAGAGGGCGCACCGGTGCACCTGTGAGGTCGAGCTGATGGCCGTCCCGGCGCTCGCCGGCAGGGAGCGAGCAGGGGGGGGCGCCGGCTCCTTCACGAGCGCTCGGACCGCTGCGCGGCTGGCCTCCGTGATCTGCTGCAGGCGGTTCACGTCCTCGAGCACCCCTGCGTCGGAGTTCCGGTAGACCTTCTCCATGTCCTCGGCCGGGGAGGGGACGCGCGGGGTCGCCTCGTCATCCGTCGCTCTGCCCCTCCCTGCAGCTGCCTCTCCACGACCCGCCGCTCCCATGGCGCGGAGCGAGCAGGTGCAACAGATGGGAAGGCTCTGTGAGTTAATGGTATGTTTTCTGCTTTTTTTTTTTTCTCTCTCCCTCTCTCTCTGAAGAAAGCAGCACACAGGATTGGAAACTGTGGCACGTACGGGAGTAAATGTACGGAATACAGAGAGACACGAAGTACAAGTAGGGGGACCCGTGCTATAAGAAAGCACGTTATCTTTCCTTTTGCGGGGGCCGGGGCGCGCCCGTCGCCTGCGCGCCCGTCGCCTGCGCGCCAGGTGACTCAAGGGCCCATGTGAGCCACAACGGCGGCACACAAGGGAGATGGGACGGAGGCGAAGGAGAAGGAGAGGCTGGCATAGGCATGACAACCACAGAAACGCATTCGTAAGCCTACAGTATACGCATCGCCCACCCTACCCCCAGCAAGGAAAGGCGGGGGTTATGATCAAGAGTGCGGGAGGAGTCTTGGAGTGGAGGAGCATGAGAAGGCAACCTGCCATCGACAAGCGAACTGCAAATGCCCGCCTGAGAAGACATGGCAAAGATGGCCGAGACGAGAACGTGAACCTCACGAAGCAAACGCTGAGGGTTCTCGCGTCCACCTTTTGGTCCTCTTCCTCTTCCTCATCTTGCCTTCCATCCAACTCCTCCTTCCTTTCCCCGATACCTCATCCCACTCCCATCCCCCCATCCCTCCTCCTCCCTCGCGACCCCAAGCCACATGCATTCTCGTTCCCCCCCCCTTCCGCAAGCCTACATTCCCCTGCCCCGCTCCCAGAGCCGCCAAATCCGTCCTGCCCGATGGACTCCGCGAGCAGCCTGGGCAAGCTCTTGATGCCCATCTGCGCCACACGCGCGCGCGCACAAAATGAGGAGGAGGAGGAGGAGGAGGACCCCCCAGAATCTGCGAGAGACCCCTAGAAGGTTGGCAGCCTCTCCACCATTCTCTGCCCCTCTTCCTCCGTTTCCTCCTCCTCCTCCTCCCTCATCCGTCTCGTCCTCTTCGTCGTCGTCATACTCGTTTTAATCATTCCCCTCGCTAATCCTCCTCATCCTCCTATTCCTTGAAGAGGTCTTCAAGGAGAGGGCCGCCTCCGGGCGATCCAGCTGGGCAATGTTCACCAGGGTGGCCGTGCTCTCCTCGGCGCTTGGCGGGACGCCGATGCGGTGCAGGCCCATGGGCAGGGCGCGGGACTCGATCTCCATGAGCCTTCCCGAGGCGTCCAGAGGTGGGGGGGCGGGAGGACAGGGCAGGGCTCGACTCTTCCGCCTTGAGCCTGGGGGGCCCCTTCGTCGCCACGACTGAACGCGGCCACGAGGACAAATCAGGATGTTGCCCCAGGAGAGGTGCGGAGGTCAGTGCTGAGCGGTGTCTGACGAGCGCGGGCCCTGACATCCAGGCGTCGACATCGATGTACAAATCTAAGCACATTGACGTACACACACACACACACACACACACGTCAAAGGCTGCTGTGGGTATATCGAGACGGAGAACTTATGCAAATGGCGTCGAAGTCTGTCGCGCGTGCCCCTGAAATGACATGCTAAATACTGCTAATGTATGACAATTGAAGATGTGGCATACACCACCGAGCCTTGTCCCCAGTGGGCGCGTTAGAATGATTCCTGTTGTCCAGGAGGCTTCTTTAGTTTTCTATGGTCGATCCCCCTCGCCGCATGCGTGGTTCAAACATCGCCCCCTCTGAAATTGCTTCCCGGCGAGCCTTTCAGCCTCCTGACGGCCAAGATAGCCTCCGAGATGACTTCCAAGACAGCCAGGACGACACCAAACAAGAAAAGCTCAAAATGTGCAAAACGGCTCAAGAGGCTCTCAAGATAGCCTTAAGACGGCCTACGAGGCCCCTAAGACGGCCTAAGTGTGCTCAAAGAGGCCCTCTAGGAGAGCCCGAGGAGGCCAACACCATTGATTTCCCTAAGGATGTTGAAGAATGCTGGAAATCTCGCCGTTTTGGATTTCCGACCGCCCAAGGCGGCCCCAGGGGCCTCGAAGATAGCTACAAGACAACCCATGATGCCCCCAAGAGGGCCCCGAGTCGGCCCAAGAGGATCCCAAGATCGCCCAAGAAGCTCCCAAGAAGCTCCCAAGAGGACCCCAAGACGGCCCGCAAGCGCCTCAAGAGGGCATCAAGACGGCCCAAAGAGGCCCAAGATGGCCTCCGAAGGCGTCAGACTGGCCAATCTCCTCCCTACGACGGCTCAAGATGCCCAAGAGGCTCCCAAGAGGCACCAGGAAGCCCCCAAGAGGCCCCAAGGAGGCCTCTCAGGAGACTCCCAGGATGTCCCAGCTGGGCCGCAGAGAGCCAAGAAGCGTTTTCCTCCTCCTCTTCCTCCTCCTTCTCCTGCTCCTCCTGCTCCTGCTCCTCCTCCTCCTGCTCCTCCTCCTCCTCCTCCTCCTCCTCCTCCTCCTCCTCCCTCCTCCTCCTCCTCCTCCTCCTCCTCCTCCTCCTCCTCCTCCTCCTCCTCTCCTCCTCATCATCATCATCAATCATCATCATCAGCATCAGCATCAGCATCAGCATCATCATCATCATCATCATCATCATCATCATCATCATCATCATCATCATCATCATCATCATCATCAGCATCATCATCATCATCATCATCATCATCATCATCATCATCATCATCATCGTCATCATCATCATCATCATCATCATCATCATTCATCATCATCAACATCATCATCATCATCATCATCATCATCATCAGCATCATCATCATCATCAGCATCATCATCATCATCATCAGCATCATCATCAGCCATCATCATCATCATCATCATCATCATCATCATCGTCGTCATCATCATCATCATCATCATCATCAGCTTCATCAGCATCATCATCATCATCATCATCATCCTCATCAACATCATCAGCATCATAATCAGCATCATCATCAGAATCAGCATCATAATCATCATCATAAGCATCATCATCAGCATCATCATCAGCAGCATCATCATCATCATCAGCATCATCATCATCAGCATCAGCATGAGCATCATCATCATCATCAGCACCAGCATCAGCATCAGCAGCATCATCTATCATCATCATCATCATCAGCATCAGCATCAGCATCAGCATCATCATATATCATCATCATCAACATCATCATCATCATCAGCATCATCATCATCATCATCATCATCATCATCATCATCATTGTGTCCCTCTCCTCCCTCCCTCCCTCCCTTCCTCCGCCTCCTCCTCCTGGAACCTGGCAGCACGAGGTCTCCTCCTCTTCCTCCACCTCCACCTCCTCCTCCTCCTCCTCCTCCTCCTCCTCCCTAATGGGCGGAGACGATGTCGGGATCACGACCCTCCCCACTTCAGACCACTCGCTGAACTGCCGCGGGGTATGACCACGATCTCCGTCATACCGCACGGACGAAACGAAGTCGAATTCACGACCCGTCTTTGTCAGACCCTCGTCGGAATTGCGCTGTTCCTACACTCAGCCTCCGTCCTGCGGCGCTGTTGCACAGGCACGGTGGCGGGGCGTGCCGCAGACAGCTGGACATGTCTGGTATGTCCGCATGGTGAGGGTTGTGACAGCTGCGCGCGATGTCTACATGGTTCGTACATGACAGTGCTCTCTGGCCTCTCGGCATGAGTGTACACTCGTCGTCCGATCAGGTGTGCCATACATGTATAGTGACTGCGTAGTGTGGAATAGTGGTGACTTTACGTCGTTCCCACATATATGCGATCAAGGCATGGTTGGCGTGAGATGGCCCGAGCACATGCTAGTGATGTCTGTTATTACTGTGCGGGATTGATGTCTAGCGGTGGTGCATGTATGGTATGCCAGCCCGTGCGTGATATATGTATTGACGAATGCTGCTGGTATGCGTTATTGGCGGTTGGTGTTAGTACGCGCAGCTGGTGTCGCGTACTTGGTGTATGTGTACTTGGTGCGCGTGGATATAGAGTGTGTCATTGAGAGGTGTATTTGGTGTAGGTCCCTGGTGCGTGCGATTGGAGTATGGTGTTTCTATGTGCCCGGGATGTCTGCTACTGCTGTGTGCGGCGGATGGATGTCACTGCCACGTGCTTGTTGTGTGAGAACGGCGTGCGTGTTTGCTGTATGTTCCTGACATGTGCTATTGACGTACACTCTTGATGTGCGATCAGGGTGCCCGTCCTTGGTGTATGACCCTGGTATACAGACGTGGCGTATCGTTTTGCCGTAGGTGGTTGATATATGCCTCGAGGTATGTTCGCGATGTATGCTCCTGGTGCCTGCTCCTGTCTACGCCTTGGTACCTGCCAGCAGCGCATGGTGTCATGCACGATGGAGCTGCCAATTCTTGATGTACGTTGGGCAGGGTGGTGCTGACGTCAATCACTCATGTCTGGCCTTGGTGCATGCCAATAGTTCTGAGCGCTGCGGCTTGCCTTGGCCGCCCCAAGAAAACATTGTCAGTTCCGCTGCTTGAGGTGGCAATGTGGCCATGCTCGATCCGTGTTTCCCTCCCGCCCACCTTAGGCACATTATGGTACATGGTCTCGGTGGCCGCCTGGCTTGGAGCTCGCGAGCGTCCCTGAAGCTCCCAACCAGGCAGCTCGGGATCGACCCTGAAACTCTACCGGATGATTGCGTTTGATGCGAAGTCTTGTTGTCTGTCCCTAACGCTATGTGGGTCGGACATGCCTGCTATTGATTCCAGTTATTGGTGCCGGGTTCCTTCTCACGTGAGTGTTCATGTGCTCATGGTGTACGTGGCTGGTGTCAAGTATTGATGCATGTTCCAGATGCGCGCTCCCGATATGTATGATTGCGATGAGTTGCTGGTTAAGTGGTTCCAGCGGAGGCCCCAGGGCGCCCAAGAGAGGCCAAGACAGCTTCAGCATTGCCCCGAAGAGCCAAAATACTGTGAACCTCAGACGCTTCGAGGATACGGCCTGTCAGGCAGTTGACCCTGCCTCCGCCACCGTGGACCCCTGCACGGTGAGGCTTTGTAGAGTTGCCTGGCAGGATTCGTCCATCACCTTCAAGGGGACGACCCCCCTCACGACGCACCCAGTAGCATGCATCACGTCGGGCGTGTCCCCCTACAGGCGGGTTTTGGACGAAAAACAAAAATCGTCCTCATACAGTATTTCACCATTTTTGAACATTCGACTTGTAGAGGGGCAAGCCCAATTTAAACCCAGCAGCATGCATCATGCCCCCCCCGCCCCACTGTCCCTCGTGAGCTACCTGAGCGAAACGTACCCAGACCCTTCTCAAGGCAAGGCGAGTGTTTATATGAACATTCCACAGACAAAGACGAGCACGTTGCGAGGACAGTATCCTGGTCCCCCGGGTTTGTCCTGGTCCCCGGGCGTCGTTCCCTCCTCTGCCTCCTGTTGTCGTTGCTCTCCCCGGTCGTCCATTTTGGGGGGCCTCATGGCGATGGGGGATGTGCATGCGCAAATTTTCAGACACGCCCTGTCCACAGTGTTTCATGCAGATCCACATGGGGGTGGCGTCGACGGGGGGGGCGAAAGTTGAGCGCGCCGTCCGGCGCGAGATGATCTTTATCTTCCTCGGAGGGTGCCCATTGCGCGCGAGTTTTTCACCGTCGCGGTGCCCATGTTGCAGTTTGGTGATTGGGCGGGCTTCGTGACGGCCGGCTTCGTGCTCGGGCGAAGCGAGCAGGTTTGGGGCGCGCGCGCATTAGCGTTCAGGAGCGGTCGTCTGGCATGGCCCTTGTCCTCGCGCGAAGTGATGCGCCATTAAGGTCGCGCTCTCGAATGATCCTTAGAATTGGCAGTGGATTGCATGGCTCATTTCCGAGGAGTCGCGCAGCGCGCCTAAATCTTGAAGGGTGCCACCTTCTTCAGCCGCTACTGGAAGGCGCGGGGCCACGTCGCGCCGGGGCCCCGGATTTCTTGATCCCAGGTCAAGGCCCATCGCACTCTAGACGACGCGTTCTCTGAGCAAGGCCGCGTCTGAATCCTCGTAGCTAGAATGGCACACGATGTAATGAGACAACATCGCGGGGGCGCATGGTTTGACCCTGCTGCTCGTTTAGACACCGCCCCCGCTATCTTCATGTTTCTGGCGTTCGCGACTGGTGCGGGACGGGCGCATGCTAGCGGGCCCTTTCACGAGAGTACTTTGGCCCCCTGTCCGAGGCCCCTCGCACGCCCCTCCCCGCCCCGTTGCCCCCCCCAAGCCCCTACCTGGGCA